AAGAGAAACTATGTGATATTTAAGCTTTTATGTCTGATTTATTTCACTTAACATGATGGTATCCAGGTGTATCTATTTTCCTACTAATGACTCCAGTTTATCCTTCTTTATGGCACAATAGTAATCTGTTGTAGAAAAATAACACATTTTCTTTATCCATTCATCTGTTGATGGACAATCAACAGATTGTTTTGAAGATTTATCTATTAGGATTTGTGCTACCATAAACAGGGGTGTGCATGAATCAGTGCAATATGATGTCTTTACTCTTCTAGGAAGACTGCTAGAAGGGGAATAGCTGGGTTAAATGGAATATCTAGTTCCAGTTTTTTGAGGAGTTTACACACTGATTTCTATAGTGGTTGTACTAGTTTACATTCCCACTAACAATGTGGAAAGGTTTCTTTGTCCCATAGCCTCATCAGCCTTAGTCCTTATTTAATTTCTTGATGATGGCAATTTTTTCTCAGGTAAGATGGAATCTCAGTACTAATTTTTTTTTTTTTGAGACAGGGTCTTGTGAGTTACTAAGTTGCCTAGGTAGTGTCAGAATAATGTGAAACATATCTACCTGGTCCACAAAGACAAAAGGTCATGGCTAGTTTAATTTGGGCAGAGGCTGGGCTAGAATGCAACGTTTGCCCTGTGGTTTTGGCATAAGAAACTGGAAGTGATTCATGATTAGGGACACCAGATGGTGATGAAAGACCTTGATGCAGGTGGAATCCAAGGGTCCTCCATTCCTTGCAGGTTCCTGTGGCAGGGAGTCCCCAATTCCCTGCTCCTCTCCAGCCATGCACTATGTGCTCCAAATCCATCCCAGTTGTACACAAATTTAACAGATGCTTCAGGTTACAGCACAGCCTGTGACTACCAGGAACAGGAAGTTGCTGTGGAAAGGGATTTGGTCTTTAGCTCATTTGGTTAGATCTGGGTAGATTTCAGCCACTTGTAACTCCCAAGCCATTTGATCTTTGGGTAGAGTCCAGACATGACAGTCAAGCTGGACAAAACTTTGGTGGAAATTTCACATCTGCCTCTCACACACTGAGCAAGATAACTTATCTTTCTTTCTCCATTTTTATATGAAAAGAGAGCAAAAACATTCACTTGACAGGATTGTTGGGAGGCTTAGAATGGTTTTGTAAAACTCCTGGCATGGAACCTATGCTCCATAAATCACAGAAGTCTCTGCGTCTTTTTAGATATTTCTGATGAGATGACCCATGATCCTTATAAACTCAACAGTATGAAATCAAATTTATTTGATTCTTTCAAATACAGTTCACCTATAGTTTTCTTTTTCTTGAGGCTTTTTTTGCTTTCACAATCTTCAGTCTTCCTTTTTGAGTAAATCCAGACTTTTGTCCTCTTTCTTCCAGTCCTTTCCATTTAGCAATTTGCAAAGCCATTCATGATTAAAGACAACCGGGCTGGTTCCCTGGGTCTGTCCCTGTCCTGACTTGGCTCATGGTGTAGCTCTGCAATTGTTCCGGAGCAGGACCTTCATCATGTGGAGTGGGTTTCCACCATTGTAGTGAAAGCCAAGGCCTCAATGGGGGCCATATTGAGGCCTGTAGTTCTGACCTGAGCCTGTACCATGACATTAGATTGTACAAAAGAAAAGCCCACTGGCAGCTGGAGTTCAGCTCATAAAGTCAGCCTGTTTTAGAAAAGTCAAATGGGGACAAGTTAGGTCTAGAAGGTTAGAACAAGACTCAGGAAATGGGATAACACTGGCTTTCCCATGATCCAGTGAGGAGACTCCATTTGAAAGGGACAGGGAATATGTGTGGGTATTTGTGTTTCTCCTACCCAGGATAAACTCCCTTTTCCTGGCTGCAGAACCCTGGCTTTGTGTTAAGGATCACAGCTCCATCCTCCTCAGATGATGACCCACTGGCTTCCCAGAGGGAGTCCCAGATGTTACCCTTATGAGTAGCCATGACTGTTCAGGAATGGGCTCATGCTTCCGGGAGATTCAAACTTCATGAATTCCAAAAGTTGTGTAGGAGCTACAGCCAAGGTCTCTTTTCTGTTGCTGCTCTCCCCAAATTACAAAGTATTGGGTGTTGAGAATAAAGTCAACAGAGAGTAAAGTTAACCCAGGGGAAATCAAACCTGGGAGATGCAGATAGATTGGATGTGGATGAGCTATTTCATTTCTGGATGCATCTGTATCTCAAGATGCTTTGTCCAAGCCAGTAATATGGGTTTTTCATCCACTCTTTAGGAGAGAGAGACTGTGTGTTCTGGTAGTTCTTATCTACACAAAGTACAACATGGGGTATGTTTATGAGATGAGAGGGAAATGAGAAGGAGGAAAATGAATATCCATGAATATCCAACTTGGAAATTTTCCAACTGTGTAGTTCAGGGAGAAGATCCCCAAGGAGAAGAAGGAAATATGTAGGTTCAAATAGACCCAGGATAAGCTGAGGTTCACACCAAAAATACTCAACATCTCCCACACGCAAACATATAGAAAGCTGAAACAGGCATCTCTCCAGGTGCTGAGGTAGAAGTAGGGGAGAGAAAGAGGAGCTTTCCCTTTAGTGACCTCTAGGATCCATGGGAAATCGTCTCATGAAGGGTTTGAGGCCTAGGGAGTTGATAAATGATAGTAGAAGTCTTGGCAACATGGCACAGTTACTTTAAGAAATGGGACAAGGGGTCCACCACGCTGAGTTCAGAAATGTAACGATCAGTCAGAGTTCATCAGCACATCTGTGCGCAGGCTTGAGCTTTTTTGATCTGAGATAGAGTTTGGCAGTGCTGTGTAGATGGAACAAGGAGAACAGATGATCCTGGGTGGGTAAATTTCCTTTGATTTGACCATCCTGCTCCACTGTGATTGTTCACATGAGCTGCTTGATAATGAGATTGTTCAGCATTTTCTCAGAATCCAGCTCCAGGTCTGGGATCCAGCCCTTGCTTGGCAGCTGGTGACGCCCTGCTAGGTGGTCTCTGGAAAGAAATCTCACACTGATCCTTGGAATGCCGGCCTCTCCTTTTCTCTGCTAATCTCCTTGGTTTTGTTGCTGTATTGGCTTCTAAACTGGTGGGTTAGATCCGCTGTGGGTACACGCTGCACATTCTGCCCGCCTCGGCTAATATCCTTCCTTGAACCACTTCTCCATGAGTCACAGAGGAGTATTTTGGTAGAATTGCTCAGATTTCGAGATACAATTGGAGGCAGCAGTGAGAGAGGCATAGCTCATATTCACTGGCTTGGAAATATTATTAACAGCTGCAAGCTTCAACTTCCGGGCAAATTTCCAGACAAAATGTCTAGGGTAAAATGTTGCTGGGCATAGCTCTTGTAGAGAAAAAGGAGCGACAAAGTACAGAAGATAAATTTCTTTCTCTCTTTCCTTATGATTAGAGGCAAAATACCCTAAACCATCAGGAATCTGATGTCTATTCAGCCCTTGGAAAATTATAGATTCTTGCACAATTCTTTGTCTGATTTGAAGCAGAAATGTTTTAAGGATTATCATTGTGGTAATTATTATCTTACTAAGTCTTTGTAGTTCATTGTTAAGTGAGACATGGACCTGAGTCTCAGACTATATGTTTTATGAATGGGAAGAGACAAAGTCTTAAACTGGACTTTATGTGCCACTCCTGCTTCAGAAAGGCAAATCCAACACTGACATTCCGTCTTACCCCACAAAGAATGGCTATCATCAAGAAATCAAATAATAAGTGGTGGTGGCGAGGATGTGGGGGTGAGAAAAGGAACCCTTTTATACTGCTGGTGAGAATGGAAACTAGTACAGCTACTAAGAAATCAGTGTGGAAATTCTCAAAAAGTTAAAACTAGAAATTCCATTCAACTCAGCTATTTCCCTTCCAGGCATCTTCCTAAAAGAGTTAAAGCCGGCATATTACAGTGATCCTTGCAAACATATGTTTATAGCAGCACAACTCACAGTAGTTAGGTCTTGAAAGCAGCCTATTTGTTCAAAAACAGATGAACAGATAAAGAATATATGATATTTACACATAGTGGAGTACTACCACGATGCAAAGAAGGATAACATTGAGTCATTTGTAGGAAAATGGATGTACCTGGAGACCATAATGTTAAGTGAAATAAACCAGACTCACAAATTGAAATATCACATGTTTTCTCTTCTGTGAGAAACCCAAAATATACATAAAGGACAAAATAAAAGATAAGATAATAGGAAGTAGGAGGGCAGATCTTTCTGAAAAAGGAAATGGAGGGAGGGGTAAGGGGGAGAAGAGAAAGAGGATGAAAAGGAAATTAATATGTGTCATGTATATGAACTAATTCCACACAAGAAATGTAAGCATTCTGTACAGCAAACATGGACTAGTAAAGTAAATGATCTGAAAAAGTAAAATTTGAACATTTTCTTTATAAGAGTGCCCACTTTCTGTTCACACACTCAGAGTAAGCTCTCACTGGGCCTCATGTGTGAGTTTTTTCTTCAGGGAGGCTGTGTTCATTCTAGAACACTCTAGAAGCTTCTTTTCTGCTGTTTTGAGATCCGTGACCTGCACTGAAAAGCCAAGCTTGCTGATACACAAATTAAATATCTCACAAGGGGTTCTGCAAAGAATAACTGATTCTTCTCAAATTCGCTTATCAATGATGGATGTCTGATTCAATTGCTTTGCCAGGAAACAATATAACTTTCTTTCACGGACTATTTTCAAAGTGCTCATCACATTCAGAAACTCATTTACTATTTTATCAAGCCCCCTATGGAGTCCATTTATATGATGCACTTGAGTAGCTTCACATTTTATGAGAAATGTAGATTAAAATTTTAATAAATATCTCTTATTAACAGAATAGATATTTACAGTGCATCTGTGCTGGTGCAGTTAAGCTTCCAAAATGTGGATCTGATCAATGAAATTGAAAGAAAATCATTAGCCTCTATGGATTATAATTATTTTCTCACAAGTCCCATTGCATCAAAGATGGATGTGAACATTATTGGACTGATTATTTGGCAGGTTTTTCCAAATTTGGGCTCAATTTATTCGGAATGATAGGAATCCTAGCAAGGCATGTGCTTTCCTTTTTAAAACTGAGTGTTTTAACAAACTCTTGGCCTTTTTTTAGTGTGTAATCTGAAGTTTCATGTATTTTGTCCATTGAATATTCATCTAAGATTTGAAATTCCTCTTCTACGCCATACAGGGGAAGCTGCTTTGAGCTGTTAAGTGGAGCACAAATGGAAAGTGGAGTCCAGCATGCAGTTTTCATAGCTGAAACAGAACAGACCCTGGTTGGCATGCCGGTAGGTTACGAGGACTTAACTAGTAACACAGTTAACCATAGACATCAAAACTCTAGCCTCCTGGTCTCCTGCTATTTCTATTAGGCTTATAAGGAATTCTTTTGATTTTTAAATATTCTTCCCTTGTGTAAAGAATAGCTTAGCTCTTCTGTATCTGGTCTCTAAATCAGCTTTGGAAGAATGGGATGGTGATGGTTGATACCCTGTGTCAACTTAGAAGTTGACAGCAGATCTACATCCTAGGGTGTAGAGGACATGTCATAGAGCAGCTGTTTATGCTCTAGGATGTTGTAATGGTTGATTTATTGTGTCAACTGGAGAAGTTTAGAAGTTTAAATAAGTGACTCAGCAGGGTGCCAGGGTCCTTACTTTGTAAACAGTCTGAGCAAAATGTGCAAGAGGAGGACAGGAAGATGGTGTGAGTGCTACATCAGCCTCAGGGCAGGTAGTCTGCTTACAATATAAGGGAGGAAAAGAAGCTTGTCCCCTCCCACTTTTGCTCTTATTGCTTTTGCTGTCTTCTGCCGCTTTACACTGTTGCCCCTCAGCCATGCCACCCTGCCTTGGAGCCAGCTGAGTATGGACTGAAACCTCCACAAACTGTGAGCTAAATAAACCTTACTTTTCTTAATTTTCGATGTCAGGTATTTTGTCTTAGCAATGAGAGAAAGGTAACTAAGAGAGGGTCTTATAAATTTACCATCACAGACCCTTTGCCAAGCAAAGCATGAACATCAGTCCTCCGACTGAGTGGATTCAGTTCTCCGTATGTCAGACGACTTGCTCTGCTCTCTTACTGATATCTTGTGCAACTGAAAAGGATAGGCTTGTCTACTTGAATCGGGGACTTCAGAGGTTTAATAATTAACTCAAGGCTGCATGGGAAAAAATTGATGTAGTATAAAAAGTCTATGTTCTCCTCATTACTCAAAGATGCTCCTAGGACAACACATAGAGGAAAAGGAGCCTTTCCAAGGGCCATCTAAGGTCTTATTCCTTCAGCGTTCTTTGGCCACTCTTGTCTTCATACTCACTATGAAGAACAGCAGCTCATCTTTGGTCTGGTGGAATTGCTTTAGTGCTGCTGCCAAAACAGGGGACAAGAAAGACTGAATCCAGATGTCCAGGTCCAGCTCAGGAGTGAGAACAAGGTACACATCTGTGATCCACTCAGCAAAGACACCCTCTGAAATAAGAGCACAGAAGTTCAAGAGAGCGAGGAGAGGTAGGGGCAAACTTCAGGAAGGAGATGGCAGAGGATGGAGAGGTGAAAGAGTAGAGCTGAGGAGCTCAGGGGCTTAGGAAGGAAGGAAAGCCTTCAAGCTGTTGGGAAGCAGAGAACAGATATCCAGAATCAGTAGGTATAAGATGTGATGGAAATATTTAGAGAAAGTTTAATTTAAAACAGTTATCATCATTAAAGTAACATGGCCATGAACCACCCTTAAAACCTTCCCCCTTGATTAGAACACACTCACCACATCATTCTGGCCAATTTCTGCAGCATCACTGGAGTCCTCTTTCCTGAATGTATTTACGAGGTGGGATCAAAAGACAGTGAATGCTGCAGCCAAGAAAGTGGTAGGCTCATAAAAACAGTGCTGTGTCCTCATCCACCTGAGTCACTAAATCTGGCATGTTGTGACTTCCAGCTCTTCCCCAAAGTCAAAATGACCATGAAAGGGAAATACTTGCATCCATTCAGGACACTGAGGCAGCCAGAACCATACAACTAAAGACCCTCAGGAAAGAAGACTCCAGAGCGGCTGCAGAAAGTGGAAGGACAAATGGGAAGAGTGTGTTCAAAGTAAGGGAAGGACTCTGAAGGGATTCATAGTAATGTACTTTTCACTCTAATGCATTTTTTAAAATGTAAACATTCACTGTAATTTCCTATTACGTCTCCTAGGACCAAGAAGGATATGTTTAAGTAGGGTTAAAAACAGGTACATTATTGGAAGAGTTCAAGTGACCCCAGCACACCTGTGCACACTCACCTCCTTCCACTCCCAGCCACAGTCTGGTTATTGGCAGCTTCAGCTCTCAGCAGAGGAGACCAGGTCCTCCTTTCCTGGCTCCCACTTCCAAAGTCTGCAGGGGTCAGGATGGGGAAAGGGGGCAAGAAAAGAAACTCAGACAGCAAGCACTCTGAGACATTCAGCCGGGACTAGCAAGGTACCCTGAATTGATGATCAAATTATTTAAATGTGAAATTTTAAAAATCTTGAGACCATAATATTAAGTGAAAGAATTCAGATAAGAAAGTGAACTCATGCATGATTTCTCTTATAGGAGAAACCCAAAATGTGAATAGAGAATAAAATAAAGAAGAGAGGGTAGGAAAGAGGGAGGCAGACTTTTTGGAAATGGGGAAGAAGGTAGGAGAAGGGAAAGAGGAGAGAGGGACTAAGGGGTGGGAAATAGGATTTTATATGCCTCTTCTTCACTCTTTCTCTGGGAATATAAATTCTAAGATGCAGTGCATTGCTGGTAACAAACCAGAGTGCCTAGACACTAAATGTACTATTCAACCTTATAGAGAAAATGCTTTCTTGTTGTGTTGTTTTGTTTTTTGCAGTATTGGGGATTGAACCCAGGCCCTTTGCATAGAGCTATACCTTAGCACTTTTTTATTTTGAGACAGAGTCTCACTAAGTTGCCAAGTCCCCAAGGCTGAGTTCTAATTTGCAATCTTCCTGCCTCAGCCTCCCAGAAGGTTGGGGTTATGGCAGTGTACCACTATGCCCATCTAAAAAAGAAAACAGTTTGACACGTCACTTCCTGGATGAACCTTGGGGACATTATGTTCAGTGAAATAAATGCTGCATGTGTGCATTCAGCAGATGCCCGGAACAGTGAAATTCATGGAGGCTGAGAGAGAACAGGACCATGGACTAGGTGAGCAGGAGGGGTGAGGAGTTGTGTCTTAGGATGCAGACCTTTAGTTTGGCCAGAAGAGCTCTATGGCTGGCACCAGTGACAACAGTTGAACAGTGTGACTGTATTTAACATCACTGACCCCTAACCTTAAAAGTGGTTAAGGCAGTAAATTCATGTTATGTGCATTTTACCACATTTTTTAAAAAAATAAGAAAAAAAAAAAAAAACCTCATTAGTCTTTAAAGAAATCCAAATTTTAAAGAGCAAAGAGACAAATTTTGAAAACTGTGAATTGCTCTGCCAGGTTCATTGAGTATACGCTTATGAAAATAAATCTGTGTTTAAATAAAGTCCTACTGGGTGTGGTGGCACACACCTGTCATCCCAGGACTTGGGGGGCTGAGGCAGAAGGATCATCCCAAGTTTGAGGGAAGCCTGAACTATATATTCCTTCAAAAATAAATAAATAAATAAACAGACACATAAATAAAGTGCTTTTCAGGATGGATTCTCACATCTCAAGGAACACTGAATTATCTGATTTTAACATAAATCTGGTGCCTCGACACTCAGTGACCCTTCATGAGCAAAGTTCACCAGGAAATGCTAACCGAGTCTAACAAAGTCTTCCCATAGTCCCCGGATGGTAGGAGGACACAGAGGCCAATGCAGGAGAAGGAGCAGCAAGCAGCCAAACCACACGGCAACATCGCGCCAGTGTCACAGTCTCACCTCTCTCCCATCCACAGCCGAATCTCAAAGCTCGGAGAGAAGAAGGAGCGAGGGAGGGAAGGGAATGAGGACATACCCTACACCAGCTCCTCACGAACTGAATCATCGTGTACTGCAAGCCAGCACGAATAAAACGTAAAATAATGGATACGAATTCTAAAATAAAATAAAACCTCCTCCCATAGCTGAGCTTGTAAACTCAGCACTTGAGGAGGCTGAGGCAGGAGCATTGCACATCGGAGGCCACTGTGGGGAATTAACAACTTAGTAAGACGTACATACTAAATGAAACGGCTGGGAGGTTATCTCACTGCTAAGGTCCTGGGTTCAACCCTCTGGACCCTGTTTCTGTTTCCGAAATATGGCTTCCTCCCTGCACCGCACCCTGGGATGCTGGATGTCACTGGCTGATCCCCAGTTCCCCACAGCCTGGCTACCTGGAGCAGCAGGCTGCAAGCTGGGAGCTGCAGGGACCCCACCCGGCCCACAGCTGCCCGGTACAGGCGCGCCAGGGATGCCAGGGGACAGCTGTCATGGGAGGGGGCGGCTCATTCCTGTCCCCAGCCCCACAGGCTCCTGTGGGTGCCACCAGGATGCCCCAGCCCAGCCGAGGGAGTGGCCCGGCCACGCCGCAGGTCGCTGAGGAGGTGAAGTGTCACAGCAGCGGGTGTGGCCAGAACGGAAGTGACACTTGGGAAGCGTGGACTCTCAGGACAACTGTGTGTCCCCGAGGACGCCTGACTCAGGCCTCTCACTCCCTCCCCGCGGTGTCTGCAGCACTGCGGGGACCCAGCCAAAAATATCACCCAGCTCCTTCTCATCCCTGGGCGTTTTAGCAACTGAATCTAGGGAAGGAGGGGCCGAGCTGAGAGAGTCAGGACTGAGAAACCAGTGATAAAATGTCTGGCCATTGCTTCTCTACTGGGGCATACTTGTTGCTTCTGTTTTTATTGGTGGTGGTGGTGGTTAGTTTTTCTAAGTACTGGGAATTTAATTGAGGCGGTGGTGGTGGTTAGTTTTTCTAAGTACTGGGAATTTAATTGAGGCCCTTCACATGGAGGTACATGCCCTACCCCAGCCCTTTTTTAAGTTTTTGACATTGAGACAGTGTCTCCATAAGTTCTAAACCTACCCAGGCTGGGTTCAAACTTTCAATCCTCCTGCTTCAGCCTCCCAGAGCACTGGGATGACAGGTGTATACCACCATGCCTGGCTATAAAGTACATTTAAAGTACAAATAGAGAAACTGGGCATGGTGGTAATCCCAGCACTTGGGAGGCTGCAGCAACAGCATCACTGCGAGTTCAAGGCCAGCCTAAACTACATAATGAGAACTTGTCTCAAAAAGATAAAAAAGAAAAAGAAAAAGATGATCAGGGAAAGGGGCATTTCCGAGGAGGTTCTTGTGGTCGTGGTCATGGGAAGGAACACACCCATATTCACCAGGACATACACTGTGTGACCAAAGCATAACTGAGTGTTTATATTTTTCAAATGTACTACAGTCAAAGACACAGAGCCAGGAATTCCCCCCCGAAACCCTCCCGCTGGCTTTGAACACACTCATTCCATCATCCTTGCCACTTTCTGCAGCAGCTCTGGAGTCCTCTCCTGAGGGTCTTTGGTGTTCTTTCCTGGCTGCCTCAATGTCCTGAATGGATTCAAAACATCTCCCTTTCATGGTCATTTTAACTTTGGAGAAGAACCAGAAGTCACACAGTGCCAGGTCTGGTGACTAAAGTGGGTGAGGACACAGCATCATGTTTTTATGAGCTGCCTTTCCATGGGATGGTGCTCAGCAGCAGCAGCAGCAGCAGCATTCACTGTATTTTTTATCACACTTCATAAAGACACTCAGGAAAGAGGACTCCAGAGCTGCTGCAGAAAGTGTCAAGGTGATGGGATGAGTGTGTTCAAAGCCAGGAGGAGGATTTTGAGGGGGCTAGATGGTCATATGTTTTTACTGTAATAAATTTTCTTTATTTAAACATTCACCTATGACTTGATCAGCATTTGCAGGCAAGCAGCACTGTGTCCTGCTTTTATTTTATCCTCTTATTTGTTCACCTCCATGGCAGGGTCATGAGCTCTCTGAGGACAAAGTTGAAGCCTCTCATCTGTATCTTTTATCTCAATCCCTTTGCCCTTTTCTCAGAGTGCACCAGACCGCCCGATGGACACAGGCATCTTTCACCGCTCCTAGGGTTACTCAGAGTGGGTCAGCATTTCTCCCATCTTTTCTTTTCTGGCATCTCTAAACAACAACGCAACCAGAACTGGAGACCAGCAACTGCACTTTGAGTAAAGGGCGGAAGACCCAAATGAATACAAAACCAGACTGTGCCTCTCACTAATCCTCTTCCTCCATGGAAACCTGATGGGTGAAACCAGGAGAGGAAAAGCAGACCTCCTAAAATAATCTCCCTCTGCTTTAGTAAGATTCCAGGTTGGGAATCTGATCTGTTTGCTTTGAGTGTTCAAATCGTTTCCCCAGTTGATGGTCTCCTTGTAGAGTGATAAGAATTCTTCACAGGGCAGCCGTAAAAAAGGAAGCAGAGAGATTACTTGTTTCCTGCCTTGGTTTGTAGCACTATTCCTGTCAACATCTATACCCTGTTCCCCTACAAATAAAGGTAAAAAAGGAAAAAAGACTCCACAGCTCAGCTGAGCATGGTGGCTCACACTTGTAATTCTACAACTGTGGGAGGCTGAGGCAGGAAGATAGCAAGTTGGAGACCAGCCTAGGCAATTTAGTGACTTAGCGAGAACTTGTTTCAAAATAAAAATAAATAAGAGTGGAGAAGCATTATCCAACAATGTCCATATTTTGCCAACAACATCCATATCCTTCTACTAAGTAAGCTGTGTTCTATCAATTTCTCTGAAAATATGCAAAGCACAGAATTCTTTATTGTAACTAAGGGAAAGATCATAGACTCTAAATTCAGATTATATAGCTGCATGTTCAAACTCTGCCTTGCTTTGCAAAAATTCTTCAATAGTTTAATTATCAATGTCTTCATTTAGAAAATTGAGATCATAAAACTATATACATTACAAACATTTCATAAGACAAAATAAGATTATATGGAAAGCATTTTTTGAGACAGGGTCTGTATAAATTGCTTTATAAATCAGCTGTGTTGAAATTTGTGATCCTTCTGCCTCAGCCTCTCAGAACACTCAGATTATAGTCTCGAGCCTTTCACTAGCCCTGAAAAGCATGCTGTACATTGCGAAATACTATGTGATGTTAATTGTTATTTTAAATTGTTGAATAATCAGAAGAACAGCAAAAAATTTCTCTCTGACCTCAAAATATTTCTTATGAGAAAGGCATTTTCCATTAGCAAATATCCCTTGAAGTAGCCAATACCTTACTTAAATCCCTTGATCTAGAAGCTACAGGAAGGTGTGGTTGTACATACCTATAATCCAAGAGCATGGGAGGCTGAGGCAGGAGGATCACTGGGAGTTCAAGGGCAGCCCAAACTACATAGTGAGATCATGTTTCAAAAAACAAAACAAAAAAAAACCAGATACTATCTATGTGCCTAAGTACATAGGGCTCCTGTGTGATACATATCTGACAATTCAATGAGATCAGTTTAGTCTACAGGTTGAAAAGATGAGGAGATGACATAGAAGAAGACAGTGGTTGGTGGATGCTGCATAGAATAAGACATTATTTCTTGTCAGAAGCAGAGATAGCTGGGACAGAAAACAAAATCAGAACCAGCCAGAAGGAAGGTTATTTCTGGTTAAAACTAGAGGACCACAGGATTAAATCATTTGTGACACAGAAAATCAAGTGTAGAAATTTTATTTCAAAACTGATTCTCTATGGCTTCACCAAGTGTAGAATTGTCAGGAAAATGATGCAATACTTAGGTGAGAGCTGAGGTCAGGCAAGATCACAGGGACCCCTGGCCTGGCTGTCCTGGTAGGTTCCATGTCACTGAAAACTGAGCAAGCCCACTCTGCCTTTGCCTGGCGGGTTTGGAGCAGGATCATTGAAATTCTTCCTGTGCTGTGAATTCTGCTTACATGAAATTTTACAAAACTTGGTTTTAATTCCATAAGGATATTTCTTCCTGTTACATATGTTGGGAAAAATTAGAAAAAGAGACTACTGAGTTAGAAATGGGAAAGTGTAGGAAGTAAAATAAAACAAAACCCAAGGGGCTGGGGATTTAGCTCAGCAGCAAAAGCGCCTGCCTGGCAAGCGCAAGGTCGTGAGTTCGGTTCCCGGTACCGGAGAAAAAC